TTATGTAACAGGTATTTCATCAGTTTTTTGGCTAGTAGGATGTATGGTTATGCTTGTGACCTCATATACTCTAGTAGCATGTAGCTCCCAGACAAAATTTAATTACACTGATGAACAACCTAAGCTGAATATGTCATCAAGCTTAACAAGGATGTCAAATCCATCAGTGGCAAAGGAGGTCAATCCATCAATGATAATCAACCAATATTTTTCAAGGTCTTTGAAGAAAAAGTTTATAGACATTTCGAGACAACAATATTATAGGATTATTAACTCATAGTACTATTCTTTACTGTATTTTATTTCTTCTAATTTAAGCCCTACGTTATCAGCTATTGAGATAGTTTCAGAATAAAATCATTTAAATCCAGGTATCTAAATGATTGGATAATAATAGTTCTTTTGATGCTATGGTAACGTCCTCTTGAATGAACTTAAAAGGAGACTTCACTGAAACAGGTTTGTAAAACCAAATATTTTTCAACTTTTACAAGCAGTCACTTCCCAATCCCCTGGCAAGCATGCCACAGGCAGCCACCCCTATATAAATACGCAGTTAGAAAGATAAACACTCATTATAGGCCCTAGTGGTAGCATTGTTTCTCAAGGTTCAGCAATATTTGTTCAGTGGGCAGATAAAGAAAAAGATTAGCAATGTTTCCATTGGGCTCTACTCCTTCCTAAAGCCAGCCAGCCTTTTCCCTAGGAGAAAGGCAGTAATCTGTGCATGTGTTCCAGAATGCCTCAGGACAACTTTCTACTTCAAAAGCAAACCAAGCTCCTCATCAGTTCAGTGCTAAGCCATCCATTTTTTTAGGGCCATTATTTTTTAGTAGCTCAATAAGTCAGACCTCCAAAATAATAAATGTGTGGAATAAATTTCATATTTAAACATGTTAATATAGCTTAACTATTTACACATTAAGCTAAGAATGATTCAGGTAGGTGCTCCGATCTAATTTTATACAGTTACAGACATTTTAAAACCTTAATCTATCAGTTAGTGTAGAAACAGCCCTGGCCTTGGTTCCAATCTAATTAGGCCAACGACTAACCATGTGATCTCTGGGAAAGCTGGGCTGGGTTTTCCTTATAAAATAAAGGAGAATGGAGTAGATGAGCTCTAACATCTGACTCTGAAAATAACAATATTCTCCTGGGAAAAACAGATCTCATCTTCCCATCTCAAGGTTTTTGTGAGGATCAAACGACATGATTGGCTCTGAAACACAGCGTCATCCATTGAACAGAAGACACAGGTCGGGGGGGGGGAGCTGTATTTACTTTCTTATCTAGTCAGTATTTGGTGGAATAGATGAAAGAAAACAATAGCAGAAAATGTTTACCCCTCCACTTTTAAGGAGGAAGGAAATAATTTAAGATTCTAGAGTTATTTTTGGTTCTTTCAGATAAAGATTGGGTGAAGTAATTAACCGGCATATATTAGTATGTTGGTTACAAGCAGCTAATATAAAATCTCTGTCAAACAAAGCAATATGGTTCTCTCATCTGATTAAAACTTTCAAAATATTAAACTAATCTTTTCAAAAGATAAATCTAGTATTTGGGCACATGTACTGTTATTTTCTTTAAACCTTTTCATTAATTGATTAATTCCAAGTACTTTTCCAGGGGCTGGGGATAGGATGGTGAACAAAACAGGCGGAGTCCCTTCCATCACTGAGCTTACATTCTCACACCAGTGAAGGGAAATAAAAAATACACAAATAAATTAAAAACGATACCAAATCAGTAGAGGGATAAGTGCTACAGCAAAATTTAAAGCAGGGTAAGGAAGATAAGGAGTAGCAAAGAGGGAGAATGCTGTTTTCTATGGAGTGGTCAGGGAATACGTCAGTGATATGGAACATTTGAGGAAAGACTGGAAGGAAGCAAAAAGCAAGTCACATACACATAATGGGGGAGTCCATTCCAGGCAGAGGGACCTTGGGTTATCAGGGAACAGCAAGAAGGCCAGAGTGGCAGAGGAAGAATAAGAGGCATGATTCCCCACTATCCTTTTCTAAGAAAATCATGGTCAAACTTATCTTCATCTTAACATCGATTTTCATTAAGTCCAACAGAAATTCTGTATTGAACTTCTTTTGTTCTGTGCCTCAGTTTTTCATTGTAAAATGGGGATGATAATAGTATCTCGTAGGGTTATTGTGAAGGCTAAATGATTTACTAAATATAAAGAATAATTAAGACGATGTCTAGCACACAAGAAACCGTGGAGGGGCTAGTTTTTATTACTATCATCATCTCTTTATTCACAACAATATCAATAATTTAATTTTTTAGGCCAATAGTATTATCTTGCACCAACTGTTAATTATTGGCAGAGATTCTTACACATGTTGTTAGGACATAGGTAGGCTCATGGTATGTAGTGATTCAACCACAGAGGTTTATGTCATCAAATGTCTTACAGAGAGTTTAAAATAACATAAACAAATTGGGGTTTGGAATTTAACACCTTAATCTGGACATAAAATGATATCATATCCATACACTCACTTGCATTTCTCTTGATTCTTTTCAGTCTGTCTTAACTCAGTTTCCTCTCCTCATGACGACACAGAATTCTTGGATGTTTGCACTGTCTTTCACATTTGTTTCCAGCATGTTGTCTGAATCGATTCCTTGTTTCTCAATTACAACCATTATGGAATCAAGATTAATAACCTGCTTGGTGAGTTTTGTCCACTTTGGAATCTGGAGCGTTGTACTCACTGTGGCCTGTCGGGCTCTAAATGCTCCAGTGGTGAGGGTCAAGGGCAGCAGCAGTGACTGGGCACCTGCCTGCCTTCGGGCTACCCCTGCCTGCTTCCATTATTTCTTCCCCTCTCCCAGGCATTTAACCATTGTTGAGGAGAGTCTGAAAGTGGATTTAAAGTTCACTAATATAACCCCTGTGCTTAGAACAATGCCTGGCACATTGGAGGTACTCAATAAATATTTGAGGAGTGAATAAAAATAGGGTAGGTCTGGTGGATGATGTTGCATTCTCCGAAACAGGCTGTAGTTGAAGGGTGGTGGAGAGGAAGAGCCCCTATCCACCGTACTCTCCTGTGGGGCTGGGCCCCCACCCCCACCACCTTCATTATCAGCCTCTTCACCTCATGGCACAGAGTAGCTGGGACAGCCTTTGCTTTAGGCTGTGGCTTTTGTGGCCATTGCATTTGATTTCACTAGTTACAACAGCTTGAGCACAGCTTATGGTTAAAAAAAAAAAAATGCGTCCTGGAAGGATTTTTATTCCTGGGCTCAGTGATCATTCCCTCAACATTCCTCTAGAAAATACTTAGTAGAGGCCCTTTCTATACCCAACACAGACCTAGGTAATGTAATACTGTAGACTTTCACAATCTAATGGGTATAAACCAACACTACCAAATAAAATACTGCATGAGAACAAGTGTCACAAGAATAGGATTCTATGTACCATATAATGTCAAACAGGATGATTGATTTTCAGTGAGGAGAACAGGAAGGCTTCAGAGCAGAGGTGGTATTCTGTCTATCACTGAAAGAATGAAGAACATTTCAATAGGCAGAGTGGTTATGTGTTATTAATACATACTGCGATTATAAAATAGCAACACTACACCATGTGTCATATATGTTTCATTATTAATTCAGCATCTAATTATGCCTCTGATTTTTCATTTGTTTGTCTGTGGTTCCTCATCCTCCACAGCCATGATCCTGAGCAACCTTAACCAAGAAACATTTATAGGTAAAAAACAAGTTGGCTTATAAGGGCATGTGCTGGGACACTGTTATAGGATTCAGTGGAAGTATTGCCCTTTATTCCTTCTTTTCTTTACCAAACCCATGAGCCACCTGTCCCAGATAACAGATTTTTGATGTTCATTCTTTCTCAGTTAATAATCGTATTTACTTTATTGCAAAAATAAATTACCATCTTTCTCTGAGAATATTTTCAAATATCATATTCCTCTCGACCAATGAAGAAGAGTGGAGAATATGGCAGATGTTTAATATATTTTGAAAAAAATTTAAGGGGAGGATGAGCTTGAGGAACTTTTCCAAATTCTGTCCCCATGATTTTACCCATTTATTCAGCTAATATTCATAGATTGCCTGCTATGTCTCAGCATAGATGACAGGAAGGGTATTCTTGACAGAGTTAAGTGTTACTAACATATACTCTATTCAGTAGAAACGCTGTACTTTTTTTCGTGTATGATGTGTGATCCAACATCTAAATAAATGCTTTAGTTTTGGTCGTTTGTTTTCCCTACAGTGTTGATGAGTCCCATTACTCAAGGAGCACTTAACGGTAAGAAGCTAGTAGCATAGGGGGACATGCATTTAATGGTATTTATTGAGCAACTTCTATGAATCACGTACTGTACATAATAGTTGATGTTTTGAGTAATTTAGTTTTCTGACAATGACAATCAGTCGAAGACAGAAAAGAGGGGAGCAGTTTTAAAGTTAAGAATAAAATGTTATTTTTGTTCTGAAAAGGATAAGGAGGATGTAGGAAGAAGGCGGACAAAACAAGTTGAAGACCAGATTCCTGACTGGAAGGAATTCAAAGCGTCCACCTGAGAAATGTCCACTTAAACAACACAGACAGAGGACCTGCTCCCTGCTGGAGGGTGTAAAAGGTGACTTATTCCTAAGGGCCGCTCCGCCCGTCCTGCCGCAAGCCGCACGGGGTAGCTAACACGTCCTGCAACGTCGGGGACAGCCCTTATGCCGAGGCGCAGCTGACAGCCAGCAGCCGCCCCCACCTGCTGCGGGCGCCTTGCCCCGCCCCCCGGGCGCGCGGGCCAATGG